CACCCAGGGCTGCATCGGGGTAGGTCCATGTGGCTTCTCCTCAGGGATGTCTTGCAGGAAGTGAGCCTTGCCAGCTGAAGCAGGGAACTGGCTAAGGCAGCGGCACCCTGGTCCAACCATCCCAAAGCAAGAGACTCGAGAACTAAAAAGGTGAGGCTCACTGAGCTATTTATCTCTCTGCCCTTCAATTAACCCCATATGTGTTTATTGTCCAGGTTGTCACAATAAACTAACTCAGTACACAAGTCCACCCTGCTATCATAGCCTTTGATGGGACACACGCTGGTGACCCGGCTGCAGGGGGACACACAGGACCGAGCCAGGTAGGAAGGGTGGTGGCGGCAGTAGCACAGGACCCCAGCCTGATCTAGAACCAACCACCTATGACTCACAGAGGAGCTGAGGCTCTCCAGCCAAAACAGGGTGAAGGGGCCCACTGGACTGCTGCAAGGCTGGTGCTTACCAAGTCTCCCATGTTTCCAAATCGCTGAGTGCTATCTGCAGCCTGTGGGACGTTCACTGCCCCGGGGATGCAAGCAGAAAGGCTGGCTTAGCTGGCAGGACTCCCGCAAACATGTCTGAGTCTGTGCATTTCAAGGAACTGGATGTGTGTCATTAAAACTGTCGGAAAATAAAGGGATCTGAGTAGCCCAGTCGTGAGAAAGGGGGTCTAGGTGGGCTACTGTGGGTTAATGCTCAGGCTGACAGCCAGCCTACCGGCAGCCCTGGATACCCTCCCCTGATGGAAGAGAAATATGCTGGGAGAATTCAGTACCATGAGGCACAACCATGGTTGGTTATAGGGTGGGGCAGTGAGACCACCCTGGGCAAAGAAGGTGGCTGGGGTCCTGCCTCAGCTACAACGTTCTCAGTGTCATGCTTTCCAAATTCTCTCCCTCCTGGCCTCCCCTGGCAGGCCAGCACGGTCAATGGAATACCACTTTTGCCAAAGGGATCATATAATCTTGGAGTTGAGGAATCTGATTTAGCCCCATCCTCTCTTCCATCATCAGAGAGGTGTCCCAGGGAAGATAGGGGACACAGCCAAGGGCACAATCAGCTCATGGCAGAGCCAGGTCCATTGGTTTGGGTCATAATTGGGTCTCCTGATTCCCAGGCTGTGTGCGTGTGTTTCCCACTCCTCAGCTTATAGTTTTATTTTGGTTATGTAATCTCTTGGATTGTAAATGTGGGTTCAATCACCAAGCGACTGAGATGAATCCTTGCTTTACTCCTTGCCCTCTGAGCGTGATCTGAAACGCCAGCCTTCTAGGGCCCCTGGGACGCAAGCTTTGAGACCTTCGAGCTTTGAGACCCATAAATGTGAAGACCAGCCGCAAACAAGGAGATCGGCTGACCAACAATGGTGGGAAAAGATCCAAACTAACAAAGGAGGGCAAGCCTTTTTCAAGAAGCACAAAAGCAGCTCTCCAGAGCACAAGCCCCGGGTACAGCAGAGGCACGGGAATGCTGCCCGGACTTGTGGCATCCCTGAGACTGTGGCGAGGTGGCAGCATTTCCCTGGTGGTGCATAAGGCTGTCACTGGCTGATTTTTGGAAGCAGATTGCTAGGGTTTTTGTTTTTTGGGTTTTTGCCTATCTTCATCTGAAAGCTCTACTGAGACCCATTCAGGATCCCAGCAGCACGACGTGCTATGTTGGGCAGGAATCGAACTGGGGTCTCGGCCATGGAAGGCAAGAGTGAAGGCGAGAGTTCTACCACTGAACTGCCGTTGCCCTGGCACTCCCACTCCAAGAAACAGCACATTGGGAGCTTGCTGGGGGAAGAGCCTCTGCATCCCTCCCAGCACCACGCTGCTGGACCCAGGGCAGCAAGCCCCTTGAGGAAGCCGACAACCTACAAGCTGGCACAAGCATTCTTTCCCCCTAAAGTGCAGGTGTCATTCACATCATGTGCATTAAACAGCCACCACGAGCTTCAATCTCATACTCAAGCCATCCATGTGCACAGGGGACAAAAGTGATATAGAACGTAATCTGTCCTCTGCTGAATTCATGTTTAATGCTGAAGCCAAAATCGGAACCAAGTCAGTCTTTAGGGGAGACACACACACACCCCAGAAAGAACAAACTCACTGCCACCGAGGTGATGGGGACTCATGGCGACTCTATAGGACAGAACAGAGTTGCCCCTGCGGGTTCTGAGACTGCGAGGCTTTGCTTGAGTACAAAGCCTTGTCTTTCTCTCTTGGAGCGCCTGGTGGTTCAGAACTTCTGGCCTTGTGGCTAGCAGCCCAAATGTGTAACCACTAAGCCATGAGGGCTCCCCTTAGACACACACACACACACACACACACACACACACACACACACACAGTACTGACAGGAGACTCTGGGTGCAGTAGCCCCCTCCCATCACCACACCCTGCACCCTCCAAGACATCCCAGTGTTTCCCCTTGCAGTCTGGGGGTAGGGATCTCCTGGGACCAGGCTTGCAAAGTAACAGGGCAGCCCTGGCACCCACCCACAGCCAAAGATGACCGACATAGAAACGTTCATGCAAAAGCTTTATTTGGAACATGTGTCTCACGGAGCAGGCCAGCCACCCTGGAATAGGAACAGGGTATTTACATTGTGCGGGAAGTACGAAGGGCACCTGGAAGACATTCATCTGTGGCTGGCTGTCCTCCTATCGACTACTGCCCTCCGCCCCCGTCCACCTTCCCCAGTGCTCATTCTTCCTCCCCCAACCTCACCTCTCACCACCAGGTCTGGGCTGCACGCCCCAGCAGTGACCCGCAGCTGGCGACAGGCCCTTCATTACCATCTGTGTCTTCCCTGGGACCCTCTCTAGCTGCCAGGTCAATTAAAGGCACCCACAGGAATGAGGAGCAGATACAGTTCCCTAGGGATTTGCAGGGCCCTATTTTAATTTTACCTTTTTTTTTTTTTTTTAAGAAGTTGCTGATTTTTTTTCTGATGGCTAGGATTTCAGCTGACCCAGGTGGAGGGAGAGTACTTCATTGGTTTTAATCATCTGGGGGTTACTGCTTTCTCCATGCCTGGGACACATGGTTTTCATTTTCAACTCCTGCCATATGCTTCTCAACTTGAACTTGCCTTTGTCTCCCGCTTACTCTGGAACTGTGAAGGTTACTCATCTTGGCTCTGGCTGTGGATGGGAGTGGGGAGGTATGGGGGAGGGGGGGCAGGGAGGGGGGTGGGCTATGAGGGACAGAAATGCTGCAGCTTTGGGCTTGCTGGAAAGCAAAGCCCTGCCCAGCCTGCCTTCCCTGTGGGGCAGGGGGCTACTTCAAGGGAAGCTCTTCTACCTCCCTCCAAAACTCATGGCTGGAAAACCTGGGCTTGCCTTTGGGTTCAAGTCTCAGCTTTGGGGCTGAGGCAGCAGAACAAGAAACTCCCTGTCCTCTGCTGAATTCATGCGCACTGCGTGGCAGGGGCTCCTAAGGCAACCCAGGCATCTGCAGGCTCACAGCCCTCTGCGATCCCCCCCACCCCCCAACCCCCGCCCACACACAAACACACTGCGGAGCCAACAGAGTGCGGCTTCCCGGGGCAAGTAGGTAGACCATAATAAACCTTTTCAAGTGACCTCAATCTGCATGATAGTCTCATTAATCTCTCCTCACCCTTACACTCACATACATGCACACACATACTTTTTTCCTTTCTTTTTTAATGAAACATGCAGGCTGGGGACCATGGCATTGTTCCTTTCACCTTCTTTTATCAGCTCCCCCTTCTTAGCTTGGCAGGCCCTGGGGCGAACCGTCCCACTGGTGTGTTCAAGCCCTTCCCACCATGCAAACTTTTAAAGGTCATTTGCAATGTGTCTCTGAAATCCTGTCCTGAGTAGTTACTCTCCTCCCACGGACAGATGTACAGAATCTGCAGTTCAAAACAAAACAGAAATACAAAGATCATCTGGGTCCGGGTGGGGGGTGGGGAGGCACAGGCTTGACTTGAGACTCGCACTCCCTGCCCCCAGCCATCTCCTCTCCGTGGGAGTGAAGGCTTGCAAGAGCGGGAGAATCGGGAGTGTTTCTCTAACCAAAGACTATTGATAGAGAAAGACTCCTGCTACACGGGTTGGTCCCTTTTGAAGAGATGCTACCCTGGCACTGACATTGGGGATTCTTGAGTCATTTGACACAACAGAAACTAGCCAGAGCACGCACCCAGGATCCCTGGGGATCCCAGGAGCAAGGGGGGTGGTTCACGTGGTCTCCTCCCTGTTGGTCCTTGCTGTTCAGAGCTGGGAAGTCACTTCAATGGTGGATCTGCCTCCTGGTTTATGTGCAGAAGCACTAAAGCCACATTGCTGCCACTCGGCGGCATCTCGCTGCTGCTGCTGCTGCTGCTGCCGCCAGTGGTAAGGGCCCCTTTTGGGGAATCAAAATTTGAGTTTAAAATCCTTGACCTGCAATGATTGACACCCCTGCGCCAGTAGTACAACAGAACAGACAAAAGTTGTACTCAGGATTTCCACAGGAACCAACGCTTCCACCTGGGAGGCCATAAGGAAACCAGGTTCTCAGGGAGCAAGATCAAACTCTTGAAGGACCTTTGAAAATGAAATCCAAAGAGCTGTGAGCCATATGGAGAAGAGCCCGGAGACCCAAGGATGGGCTGGCCGCCCTCTTGGGCATGAGGTTTTGGTTGGCTGGTTGGTTGGTTGTGGCTTGGAGAAACAGAGAGGTGGAAAAGGATAAGACTGATATTTGGTTTTCAGACAATCAGAACTGTTCCTCAAAGAAAGACAATTAGAGTCAGACTGCTGTCATTTTTCTTCTTCCTTTGTAAATCAAGAGCTACATATTCATGTCACGGATAATCCCTCACGCCATTGTTTGTCTGAGTGGTCACAACTGGGACTCGATCTTTTCTAGTTGTCTAAGTATCGAATTGCAGATATGAACTGTAACTCCAATATATGAGGAGGGGGAAAAGACAGCCAGAAAATAACAAAAACCCTTTTTTCCCCCCAGCTACAAATAATAATGCAGGGCTGAGTGTGTATGGGAAATAGAAATAATAAAATATTTGGCATTAAAGTAAAAACCTTTGGAAAAGCTATTTTTGATTAGAGGCTGTATTATCTCAAGAATGCACATTTAAAAACCCAGAGTTTTAAGTGGCTTACATTTTTAGTTATTCTTTTTTTCAAAAACCCAGAAGAAATGTTGGAACCCAGAAATCAAGGTTACCCTCCCCACCCCCTAAAAAAAGCCAAACCTTGTTGCCAGTTGGATCCTGACTCATAACAGGCCAGCCTGAATTTACTTGAATGTCTGTGTTTCTCTCCATAATTCCACAGAAGCCCTAAAAGGTGAAATTAAGGCTAGAAGCATACATATTGGTAGCTTCAAAGAAATGCAGAAAAATCTAACAATTTAGAATGAGACAGTGCTGGAAAGCATCAGATTTGGGTAGCCTAAGATGCGCATCCTGGTGCCATCTGGTGCCACTTTGACTCATGGGGGCCCTGGGGAGACAGAATAAAGAGGCTCCACTATAAGGGACTAAGTGGGTTCGAACCACCAAGCTTTGGTTAGCGGCCAAGTGCAAATTTAAGGTGCAAGAACTTTTTCTCCTGAGAAATAAGGTGAAAATGGAAATTTTCTGATTTTGAAAGAGTCTTTTGTGATTATCAACATTTACATGGAAGTCAGAACAGAGTTTATGAGGGGAGGGGTTCAAAAATTTGATAGGATGGGGGGAACCTAGGATCTCCCCACTCCATTTCCCCACCGACTTTCTGAAGCCCCCTTGTATATTCGTATGGCGAAGCCCGTGAGAACTGAAAGGCCCTGCTCCTCTGGGTCTCAAAGGTTTTCTCCTCTGACAGGGTGAAGGCTGACCACTTTTCTGTTGCTCCCCGTCAGTGGAAATGCTGGAGTTTTCCATCCCTTGACAGGTTTCCACCCTACCCAGGAACCTGCAGTGTTCACAGATTTTACTGTACTCAAGGCGGCTTCAAAAACTCAGGGAAAATTCCATTTCCCCTGAACTGTTTGCACGCGTGTCAGTGCCCGTATCTATGTAAAGATATGATACGGTAGCACACACACACACACACACACACACACACACACACACACACACACACACACACACACACACACACACACATATCCACAAAGGGGCTTGAGAAAGTCCATGGGAAATGGAATGGAAAGATCATGGATTTCCCGCCCTCTCCACCCCCCAAGAACAGTTTGAAGCCTCCTTATGTCGGAAGGAGGGACACATACATATCCCTTCTTTCAATTGCATTTAGAGGGGGAAGGGTGACCCCGGAGCTCCAGGTGGCCCAGCCCTGAGTTAGTTCTACCAGATGACTTGAGTGTCAACCACGATGGCGGCGTGACTGGCTTTGGCCCCCTGCCCCTTCCTGAGAAAACACAGCCTCCCCCAGAAATGGCAGAGACCTGGCCCAGACGTGGATGGCCGTCATGAGCTACTCTGACCTGTCAGAAGACCTCAGAGCTGGTCACCGAGGCGACGTGGATGAGGAGCAGGTAGGAGCCAGGACTGCAGATCAGTGTCCTTGGGAAGATTGTCAGCATTACTGAGACAGAGTCCGTTCTGTTTCCTAGGGTCCAGACACGCGGCGTTCTTGTGGAATAAAAGCATATGGTACAGATAAAAACAGGCCAGCGCTGCTGCCCAGCAAGCGCTGTTTTAGGGCCAAATGACAGACCACCCAAGAGTTCACATTTTAAGAATTTGAAATGTTTAAAATTAGATAAGGTGGTTTGACCAAAAAAACAAAGGAGACAGAGAAAAGGCAGCCAGGAGGGTGGGAGTGCGGGAGAAGACTGAAGCTTGATGAGATGTTAGGCTGGAAGACAACCTTAGGTAGAAAGACGGGTAAATGCACAAAAAATGCCTCGGCTCTGGGCAGGTTCATGTGGTCTTCCACACAGTAGAATACATGGGCCTCGTAATACTTCTGTGAAGGCAAATACATAGTACAATGTGTCCAAGCACTTTAAAAAAATATGCAGAGTCTGACCCGAGAACATTCTAGATAAAAATACATAATTCTTAAAAGGGGCGGGGGGGGGGGTAGAGGGGCAGGTCAGTGTACTCCAGACAGAGCACCCCCAGGCGTACAAGGCTGAAGCTTATATTTTGGTCATCGTAGTCGATAGACAGGGCAGCAAAAAACCGTTGTAAGGAGGGTGCTGGCTGTTTGGAGGGGCTATTTCCCGATACAACTTTACAGCTACTTTTGGGTGTGGGGGACAAAAAAAAACGTCTTGGGCAAGTTATTTTATTAACCCTGTCACGCATCCACTAACCTCTCTTTTCACAAGGGAAGGAAGGGGCAGTACTGTAAGTAAGTGCACAAGGGACAAAGCCTGTGTGTGAGCCACCGCGGGTCCCTTCCACACCGAGGGACACGGCTCTTTTAAATAAAATAAAACTTCCTTAAAAATCTGCCACCTCACAACGTTTTTACATCATAGAAAAATAGCACTTTTTTGGTTTGGTTTTTTTTTTTTTTGTAAAAAGAAATATAGTTACTTTGTTAAAATGGTCTGTTTTAAACTAGCAATTATTTCTCATATAAAGAATTTCTAGACATCCATACGGGAAATAAAAAATAGATAATACTGAGTGCAAAGCAGGCAGTGGTACGTTTGCTAATGATCAAAGTATTTCCTTGCCAGCTAAATAGAGGACTCTTAGCGCATTATCGTACAAGCTTCGATCTCTTAGGAACGGGAAAGGCATTGCCTCCACTCTCTGGTGGCAAGTCACGCGCGAGCCGAGTCCCCCCAGCAGCAGGCCGGTGGACTGGACATGGGCGGTGTGCGCTCTCCCCGCAACTCAAAGTGCGGAAGCATGGGGCAAGGGTGTGTGGGGCACAAGCTGGGTGGAGGAGGGAAGGGGGGACCTCCAACAAACATCCTCACGCCTCTCACACTCGTGTCGCTAGCTCTCCCTCGCTGACATGTCCACCCAGGACCAGACCAACACCAACAGACGGAGAGATGCCAACTTGGCCAAATCCATCATCACGGAGAGTGTCTCTGAGCACTCTTCTCCAGAGGCAGCGAGCAAGTCTCCCGGCTCCAGAAGCAGGTGTCGCTCCGATGGGGCGCGCCACAAAGCGAGGCTGTCTGGACGGCGGAGGTCAAGGACGCACCCACACGGAAAGGCCCCGCAGGGTCTAGCGCACGCGTGGGCCAGCGGGGCTGGTGGGCTCGAGTGAGTCAGAGGGCATGCAGTCAGCACCTGTGGTCACCGAGGTCTCATCACACCCGTTCCACTCTGCTGGGGTCATAAGAGTCTGCGGAAAGTAGGAGAAGAGGGTGGAAAGATGGTTAGTGGCACATTCGATAGCTGGCCCTGTCGTTGTCTCGTCCTCAGATCACAAATACAGATCCTCAGGTAGCAAGGCCACACGTGTGCAAAAGTTAACTCTTCAGACGTCCACAGACTCGGGGTCAGGAAAGAGCAGAATGACTTATAAAGGGGTGGGGGTGGCGGTTGGAGCCCTGGGCGTGCCAACCGCTGGCACTGCTAACCTGAAAAGTACCGTGGAAGAAAGGCCTGGCGATCTACTTTGAAAACATTGACCCTGAAATGCTGAGGGGCACAGTGCTCCTCAGACAAGCGTGGCATTGCTGCGAGCCAGTGTCCACTCCACAGCACCTGGTCTCACTCTTTTGGCGGGATCGCCACCCAAGGGCAGGTGGAAAAATGTGTGTTACTACTGTGACAGAGCTCTCCTGTTGCTCACGATGCAACGTGGACAAACTGGCGGTCATGTGCTTCTGACTAGACTCTAGTCTCTATTGATTTCTTGCTAAATTACAATGCTGGAGGATAGAAAGCTTGCAATAGCATGTCCATCTGTGTGTGCCAATGCAGTTCCCTGCCAGGCAAGGGACCCTGAACCCCTGACTGCTTGGCTGGCAGCAAGGGATCTCAAGTTCCTGAGTGTCACCAACCAGCAGGTATGCCTGCTAGCACCCTCTTCTGTGGTTTCCTTGATCTCTCTGTGCATGCAGGAGTCTAGGCCGCCACGTGCCTACATTCTCCAGTTGACCCTGGAAAATCCCACACCATGCCCAGACGACCTGGACTTCCAAAACAGGGCCACACACCACCACCACCACCCCGTCCCAGGCTGCCACCGTGGACTCCCGCTGGGAGTTGTGGAGTTTGTGGACCCACCTCTCTGTGGACCAGACATTTCACTGGGCTACATTTGTTTGGGGTCTGCCTGTCTGTCCCCGAAGCAAGAAGGGCCCCTCCAGTTTTGAGAGAGCAGGCTTAAGAAACGTGGGAGGGTTTGATAGGACAGTTACAAGACACGCTCATCTCAGGACAAGCAGGCCCTGGGGAGGCCACACACACTCCCATTTCTCCAGCAGCAAAGGAGTGTCCCCTCCTCCAACCTCCTCAGCTCATCTACAACCTCTTTCTGGGAGGACTCGGGCTGAGGCTGGCGCGCTGAGGCCGGCATGGCAGAGCAGATGGTGAAGGGAAGGCGGCCGGCTTCCCCTCACATGTGCCTTGCCGCCCTGTGCTGAGGACACAGTGGCAGGAGTTGGCCTTCTTCTGACATTTCATACTTGGCGCTCCACGTGACAGCGCAAGACAGGGCCAGCGGAGCTCTGCCCTTCTGTGCCTTCTCGGTCGGCCTCATGAGATCTGATTCTGAGGGCATCTTCCTGCGAGTAAAGAGGTCTTTTTCTATACTGACAAGAGGCTAATGGGTGCGCATGGGAAAAGGTCAGCCTTCTGGTGGCTTGGAAGAAGCTGAAACTCCATACACCCCAGATGATGACGGCAAAGGGTGGGTTCTCAGTGCCCTTGGAGACACCTCTGCAGAACGCACCTGTGCCCCACGGCCCCCCGGTTGAAGCGAAAGGGAGCTCGGCCCCTCCTGCAGCTCAGGGCAGGCCAGGTCCAATACGATCCCTAAGGGGGCTGGAAGACATTCAGGCCAACAGTCCACTGTCTACCTTTCTCACTTGCCCACACACTCTCTGAAGCCCCTCGGATGAAGCGGAGAGCCATGCGTTAAGCATTTTTCTGGGAGCCACTTAAAGCAGGGGGTCCGATTTTAAGAACAGCTTTACATTGACTGACAGATCCCAAACAGTCGGATTTCAGCCTGTACTAAATGCAAAGGTGATTGAGAGCGTGTAGACGTTCCTCAATGAGGGAGGGGAAGGGCTGTGACTCTGCAGGGTGCAAGGGGGCTGCAAAAGGCCGCGGACAAATGGCACCGAGACACCAGGGACGGGAGAGCCTACTGTCTTGTGCACTCACGTAATGTTGCATGCCCTGTGACAGAGGACCGCTACCCCCTGGCTTTCCTGGGCTGCAGGGGCCTGGAAGAAATGGCCAGGTCTGCTCCCCTGTAGATTCTCTAGGGGGATCTGAACCACCGACTTCCTAGTTAGCAGCTAAGGCTTTAACTTTTGGGTCACCGGGTCTCAATTTAGACGAGTCACATGGAACACGGGCTGGTTACCCTGAATGTTTAGAATCTTGGTTCTTGTGGGCTCTGCGAATCTTCCAGCTGCTAGCCTTTCATTAAGGGCATCCCTGGTGGGTACTGCTCATGGCAACACCCTTGGCAGCTATTGACACAGGGGGCCAACGCCTAGACTTCTAATGGCATTACCGGCATCACTCGGCCTTCCAGGATTCCCCCACTAGAGGCCTGCAGCAGACGGCCTGCCTGGTTCCCCTCCTGGGCTTCTCCTATGAAGAGCGTGTGCAAAGGGGGAGGGTGGATCCAGCAGGTTCTGAGCAGCCAGCCACTGTTACTTCACTTCTGGCCTGGAGTACGGTCTGACCCGCAGAGATGGGGTGCTGTGACCTAAATGAGGTGTGAGCTGCTGTTTTTATAGGCAGAGCCCCCAAAGACCACTGAACGGATGTCAGCCAGAATGACTATCTTTCATGGGAAATAGACACACTTCGGTGCAACATGATAGTCAAGGTGGCTTCAAAGTTGGTGGGAAACAAATTCCCTTTTCGTTTTCCCACCAACTTGTTGAAGCTTCCGGCGTACTGCCACACAATGAAAGTAATGTAGTTCCAGAACTTGTGTGTGTGTGTGTGTGTGTGTGTGTGTGTGCATGTCGGGAGGTAGGGGATGAACACAGAAACCGTCCTGGAACAAAATTGGAATTGAAGTGGACTCTGAGTTCAGGAGCAGTGACGTGGTCCCCAGGACAATGAGTGGTGGGGCTCGGGGAGTGGAGGTGAGGGCGCTTGTGTTTCACATGATACAGCACATCCAAAGTGGAGGTGGGGGGTGGGGGGACAGGAGGAGGGCTGTCGAAAAGTCTTACAGTAGCACAGCAATACGGCTGTGCTAATTTATCAAGTAACCGTGAGTGGAAACGTTTACCCTCTCGGTCATCTGAAGCAAATGCCTCTCAGAATGACCACTGAGAAGAGCGAGGCTGCTGACCAGCCGTCACAGAAAACGTCCCCGGACCCGTCCCTCGATGGCAGTGGAGAGCGCCAGAGACACCCGGTCAACAGTCAACATGCGGGGGCTGGGCCCTGCCCTAGGGTGGGGTCACTTCACTGTTCCTTAACCAACACATGAGGCAGTGAGGAGAGAAAACATGGACGATGATTCGACTTGTTGGTAACTATGGATATATACAAATACAGATATATTATTGAAATAAAGTCCTAAGAGCTGGGCTTTTCACAGCTGGCTGAGATGAAAATTTGCACGATCAGAATGTCTTCACCGCCCAGGCCCACTCACGTGCCAAGGGATAAAGCTAATAACTGAGAGGCTGCTTTGCTGAACTACAGATTTATGCAATAAGATCTTTCTTGCAACACGTGGCCATGGGCTGAGACATGGGAATATTTGCCAATCGGTATTTAATGACAGCAGGATTTTGTTCTATTTTAAAAATGCTTACAGTCCCCAGAAAGAAGTGGGGCTGAGCATCGTCTCGGGCAGGTAGACGCGCTTCTGCTGAGCTCCAGGTTACAAAGACAGTGCTGGGCGAGTGACCAAACACACTTCAGCAGCTTGCCGAGCCCAAAACAGCACTTAGAAGCAAGTGGGTACAATTGGAGGTCAGGGGGCAAGGGGCAGGGGGATAAGGGCAAGCTTACAATGACAATAAACCCTACCAGTCTTAAAAATGGGCCTTTTCTCTGCTCTGATATTTCTTTATATTCCGAAGGAGCTCTTCCTCAGTAGGCACGTACCGCGTGTGTCACAGGATAATATCATGAGGACCGGACACAGGAGGTAGTTCAAAGGTGCATTATGCATATGGGGCAGAGCAACACTGGCTAACACCCCCTAAGAGCCATACTGTATTTGGGAGCAAATGTAAAAAGTACCCAAGGAAGTCTTTGTTTGGTTGGTTAACAACCATCTTCTGGATTCTTCGGGTGTGGCAACTCCTACACTTCTTCCACCCATTTCTGAACTCTTAGATTTTCAAACGGAGATAAAGAAAGTGAGATGAACTCACCTGTTAGCTGCAACACAGTGAACTTGAGGGGCAGAGGGGGCCTGGGAAGTGCGGAACGGGGCTCTGGCAGCAGCTATATGTAATGGGACTCCTGGGGGTCTAGCTTTTTCCTTCTGAGAAAAGCCAGCCATCGAGTCTATGCGGACTCATAACAACCCTATAGGGCAGGGTAGAGCTTCCCCATGGGTTTCTGAAACTGTAGCTCTGTATGGGAGTAGAAAGCCTCATCTTTGTCCTACAGAACGGTTGGTGGTTTTGAACTGCTAACCTTTTGGTTAGCAGCCCAGCAAGTAGCCTTCCCGGGCTCATAGTTCCTCCTTACTCTTCAAACAAAAGCCAGAAGAGTTTTCATGGAGTCGATCCTGACTGGTGACTGGGAGCAACCCCACATGTGGCAGAGCAGAGCGGAGCTGTGTGCCTCAGCGTTTTCTGTGGCTCGGTTTGTGGTGAAGCATACCTCCAAGCCTTTCTTCCGAGGTGCCTGTGAGTGGGCTCGAACCTCCCGTCCTCGGGTTAACAGCCAAATGTGTAACTGAAAAACAAAGGCTGAGACCGAGTGATTGACGGTCCAAGAGGTTTCTCAGGTGGACCTTTGGCTCCTTATGTCTCAATATCTCTGATCATTTCTAACAGGAAATAGTGATTAATGCTCAGCCCCTGAAGGAAACTGCTCCTTGGTGCATCGTAGGCTGTGCAAGTGGAACCCGGAATAAGGAGGAAGGAAGGAAACCTGATGCACCTACACTAGGGTGCTGGGAAAGCGCCATGGGCCGCCCGGAGAACAAACAGACCTGCCTTGGAAGAAGTGCAACTGGAATGCCCCCAAGTCCACGGGTGGCGAGGCTCTCAAGCACTTTGGACCTGTTGTCAGGAGAGACCAGTCCCTGGAGAAGGACATCGTGCTTGGTGAAAATGGAAGGGCAGTGAAGGGCCTGGAAGGGCAGGCAGATGGACTGACACTGTGGCTGCCACAATTGGCCCAAGCCTCAGAGCAAATGTAAGGATGGTGCCAGGCCGGGCGCTGTTTCCTTCTGTTGGGTCCCTTTGGGTTGGAACCAACTGAACCGCACCTAACAACAACAACAACAACACAAGCTCTGAATTTTAAAAGGAAGCTTCTGGATAATTCTCTAACACGGGGAACCTTTTTTGGGGTTACAGGATTCAACTCTATGTTTTCTGGAGAGGCAAATTTCCACCCATCCCCAGCCTCGTACTGCTCACGGCCCATCGAGTCGGCTGACTCATGGCGGACCCCACGGGGCGTCAGAGTACATCGAGGCTCAGTGTACATGGAGTTTCAAGAGCTGGCTTTGGAGGAGGGGCACAGATCACCAGGTCTCTCTTCCTAGGCACCTGTGGGGTGGGCTCGAGTCCCCAACCCAACGGCTGAGCCCTCAACCACCTGTGCCACAGAGGGTCCCCAAGGGTCTGCACTCTCGCCCCACATCTCACCTGGGCACCCAAAGTCCTGATCGCCTTTCCTTCGTGTGCTCTGTGCAGCCGGACACCCACCATCTTCCAGGAAGAGGGTGGCCTTGGGGGTGGAGGCCACTCTCCAGGGTGGGACCCCGCCATTGAGGGACATGGAGCCCTGGCCCCTCTCGGCTCTCAGGTCCTCAGCCTCCTCCATGGAGTCGCTGCTCCTGGAGCTCAGGAGCCGCATCCGGGACACAGAGCTCACCTCTCTCATCCTCAGCAGGCGGTCAGGATCTGCTCTCCTGGGCGGGGAGGCCAGCTTCTCCTGCAAAGTCTCGATCACCCGGGAAGTGCTTCTGCACCTCTTCTCAGCGCTCGGGCTCCTCTCCACCAAGTGGAACAAGGTGGACCTGAACGGCGGCCGTGTCTCTGCGTCCTTGGGGTCCAGGGGCTCGGGGCCAGAGGCGAGGGCCCTGTCCACACCCGAGTGGGCAGACTCCAGGGGAGTCCGTCTGGTCCCGTCTCTCTCCCCTACAAAGAGCGGACTTTCCGTCCAGCCACACTTTCTCCGGCCATAAAAGGCATCTTTTGATGCTGCTGTGGCCCTAGGCAGGGCTGAGGGGGGCGGTGGCTCTTCCCTGGGCGAGGCCGGCCTGAAGGCACTTTCGTCAGCCTCGGGGCGCTGGCGCGAGAGTCCAGCTCTCCGGCCGGCACGCAGGAGGGACTCCACGGCCACCTCGATGCCCAGGATGCGCTCGGCCCGTTCTTGGAGGGACTCTTTCGGGGGGATGTCTATTGCACGTGCTTGCTCTAAGGGTTCATCTGACTCGCTGGTGTTCGGCTCCTGCCCCTGGGACCGTAAGTCTGGGGCCGAGAGTCCCCGGTGTTTGCTTGCCAGAGAGAGGGGATACACCACCTGTGTCTCCCTCTCTTCCCTGCCCTGGGCGGCCTCCTCCTCCTCTCCCTCCTCCTCCTCCTTGGCTTCCACCACACAGACATCATTGGCAAATGTGTGGCCCCTCTGAGGCTCCCTTGGCTCAGCTGGGTGGAGTGGCGGGGCTGGCTTTGTGTCACATAACCCAAATTCCATCGTCTTCCTTGCCACAGGGCCGGGGCTGGCTCCTGGCTGGCTGCTTCTTGTTCCGGCCTCCTGGCTCCCCTTCTCAGTGATCCCACTGCCCTGTTCTGACCTGAATGCTTGCCCTGGGTTGTCTCCCGCCTGCAGGATGCCTGGGGTTGGAGGGCCAGCCCGCTGCTCCTCGCTGCCACTCTTCCGTCCCAACCTGAACCCCACAGGTTCCTCCAGGCCCAGCATCCCGGGCTGCTGCTGGCCCCTCACGGCCTGGCTGAACCCAGCGGAGGAGGACGCCTGCCGCCCGGAGTTGGTGCTGAGGACCCCCGGCCCCTCCGCCTCGCTTTCTTCACTGCTGCCTTCCCTGCTCGCGCTCTGCTCCTGAAGTTCCTTGTTAAAGCTTTCTAACTGGCTGATCAAATCCCAGGGGCGGCGGTTCACGGGCTTCAGGAGGAACTGGCCAAACAGCTGCTGGCTGTTGCATGGGCTTGTGGGCTCCCCCTTCAGCACCTCACCCTGGGGGGCAGGGTGCGCTCCGGGGACCTGGGTTCCCGGACGGGGCTGACCAGGGCACGCTTTGGGTGCGGAGGACGTCCTCGAGAAAGCACTGTCGCTCGAGGGGCCGAGGAACGTCTGACCTTTGAAATGACGACCACTTGGCCGCTGCGTGTGGTCACCGGGGGCTGGCGCTGTGTGCATCTGCGCACCAGAGGTAGCAGGGTCTAAATGGTTTGGAGTCAGCACCACGTGCCCCGGGCCTCCAGGCTCTCCACTGGGTAGGGGCTGTGGTCTTTTGGGTTCTTGGGTGAAAGCAGTTTGCGTTTGCTGGTCTCTGAGCTGGTGACTTGGCCAAGAGCCGGAGTACTTGAGCTCTGGGTGTTTGGTCGGGCAAGCGAATCTGGGGTCACCGGTTTGCCTGGCCACGGCTGCACTCAGACCTTGTGTCTGTGGCTCTGTCTTGCCGGCCATGCGTCTGGTGAGCGCCTGCAGCTCCAGGTCGGTGGAGGACATGCTCAGGAGGCTGTGCTCCGGCAGCACTGGGCTCCTGCTATGGGCACTGGGCCCTAAGTCATTGTTGTTCTGATCCGTCTCTGGCAGATGGGATTCGGATTTGACTGGGATGGAAACCAAGCAAAACACAGTCTCGTTCTTTTTTTTCTTTGAACTCTTCTTGGTCTGGAGCCCGGTTTCAAACTTCTTGAGTCTGGTAACAGTTTCACTGGTCCTGTCAGCCTGGAGGTGTGGGGAAGGGGCAGGGCCTCCTGGGCGTGGGCCCGGGGCACCTTTCAGGTCAACTCCTCGTCCTCTCTCAGCATGGCCATCTCTTGGGTGAGCAATGTCGCCGGGCTCCCTGTCCCGGGAGGGCCAGCCCAGCAGCCACAGGGGTCCAGGCATAGGCGTGGCAGCGGCCCATTCCTCACCAGCTGTGGATGGCATGCTTTGGACATTCGAGAAGGCACCACCAGGCTGCGTCTTCCTGCGAGCTGGGTCTGGGGGGGCAGCAGGCCGAGAGTTACAGAACTTCTCGGGGGGCTTGTCTTCGCAGAAGCCTTGGGGCTGTGTGAGTTTAATGTGCCGGATGCGTGGGTCATCAAAAGGGATGTACTGGACAGAGGTGCTGTGGGCGCTGCTGGGGCAGGGGTATTGGGGGTGCTGGCAGGGGGATTGGGGGCTCACACCGTATTCGGTCCCTGTCTCCAGAGAAGCTGTGGTCTTCTCACTGGGGGGCAGCTGCTGACTGAAGCCCCTACCCCCGTGCCTGGGAGCGGAATCCTCCAGGTATGGGTTTGTGATGTGCGGGGAGGGCGAATGATAGGACGGCGGAGGCACGTAGACCGGAGGCTCCAGACCTGAGTCGGAGCCACTGCGCTCCTGCCTGGGGTCACTGGCTATGGTCAGACGGGGCGCGGGCAGGTCATCCGCCAGCTGGTGGTCCAAGTGTTCGCCACCGTCCACTCCTCCCCTGGCCTGTTGGTGCAGTTCATAAGACGGCGGTCTGAGGGGTCTCCCAAACTTAGGCTGTGGCAAAGGTCCGGCAAGCCCCCCCTTCTCAGTGGTCCTTGTGGATTCTAAACTTGGTGCCCGATGGGGAGGGCAGAGGGGCATCTTGGGGGCACCAGGCATTAAATGCCCGTCGTTCAGCAGAATGGGCATCTCCACGTAGTTCAGGCTCTCTGGGAAAAGGACTTTCGGCAGTGACTGGGACTTGCCCTTGTTCTGAGGATGCAGGACATGCTCTCCCGGGGAGGGCAGGTACAGATCTTGAAACAGCTTCTCTCTGCCGCTGCTGCAGCCGTCAGACATCTGCCTGCCCAGCTTCCTCGGCTGCAGCCAGCTCTCCACACTCACACTCTGCCACTGGGCCGCGCCCGACATTCTCAGCTCCTCTTCCCCAAACGCCTTCCTGGTCACATTCTCTGTCCTTGCTCCGACGTCCCACGGGTCCTCCCTCAGGTAGACCGGCCGACCGGGGGCCTGGGCAGATCCTCGGACATCCGGGTCCTCCCAGCCCCTGGGGCCTGGTGGGCCGCTGTATTCCTGCCCCCTCTTTCTCCAAGCTCCAGGGTCATTCCCAGCCGGCAGCTGTGAGGTCCATGCCGATGGCGATGACGGCGGCTGGTGGTAAAACCTAGAAAACAAAGGGGCACAGGTGTTAGCCGCACGTACCAGGGGATGGGGCACGCAGACCTGGCCCCGCAATCCGCTGCTTCTATGAGCGCCATTCCTGAAAGACCAGAGCGGCCTTTCAGAAAGATGGATCCCAGGCCCAGCCCCTGCTGCCAGCTGGAAGGCTGACATGTCCACAAATCACAGCTGGATGATAGTCATGAGCCTTGCCATCGGGAGTGGCAGATGGAGCCTGACCACAGGACACCAGGCGTGATGGCAGGGCCTGAGAGAGGAAACAAGTCCCCTTGAACTTTAAACTGCCCAAGGGGGAGGGCGGGGAGGGGTTGAGGGGACAGGAGGGTGCTCTAGACCAGAGTTTCTCAAGGTACGCACCAGGGCTACTGATGAGAAACACTACTTCCTGGCAGTCCCACCCTGTCCAGTGACATCCGGGGGTGAGGCCTGGGAGTCTGCTTCCACACGGCAGTTAGTCAATAGCTCGACTCCTGCCATCACCATCAAGTGGACCCCACTCCGTTTCCAAAGCTGTACACCTTTCAGGAAGATAGACAGCCACCTCTTCCTCCCACAGGGTAAGCAGCTGCTAGGTTCGAATCACCCATCTCTGGTAAGCAGCCGACGCAGCCTGAACACGGTGCCACCAGGGCTCCTTGCTCTCAGCATCACCGAGAGCACAGCTAAAACACAGGCTTCTAGGGATGCCCCCAGTAGGCCTGGGTGGAGAGTCCCTGGCTCATGCCACGGGTTAACATGCTCAGCTGCTAGTCAAAAGGCAGGAGCTTGGAGCTCATGCAAAGGTACCACGGAAGAAAGGCCTGGTGATTTTAGAAACATCTGAAGCAACAGCCATTGAAAACCTTCCAGAGGACAGTTCTACTCTGACACACAGGGTGTGCTGCCGAGAGTCTGAATTGGGCTCACCACAGCTGGCCTGGTTTTGTTGTCAGTCTGGGAGGGGCCCAAGCACCTGCATTTCTAACAAGCCCCCCCACCAGCAAAGAAGCCCATGAGCTAAACAGAAAATGTTTCAACGCCCTGAAAGCACTGCTGGATTCTCAAGACATAAAGGTAAGGTACAGTGGTCGTGGGTGGCAATTAGGAAAACCATAGGGAAGCACAAGAAGCAGAAGCTGCTTGTCACATTTCTGTCCAGAGAGAGTGACTGACATGCATCCTGTGCCTGTGTGGACACGCAGGTTCAAGCAGCCTTTGGTATTCTGCAAAAGGCATCCTGGTGGCGCAGCGGCTAATGCCCAGAACTGTGAATGCAAAGGTCAGTGGTTTGTACCCACTGTGTTTCCTCTGTGGAAAGGAGGTGGTGATGGTCTGTTTTCATAGAGTCACAGCCATGGAAACCCACGGGGGCAGTGCTGCCCTGTCCTGGAGGGTCCCAGGGATGCTGACTCGATGGTGGTGAGGTTGTAATCTTGCTGCTCTGAGCTGGAAGCAACCTGGAAATGGTGGGTATTTGATTTCCGTGAGCACCTACCAACACTTTTTCTATAAACAATGACAGCTGACACTTACACAGCATTTCCTGTGTGCTAGGTCTCTAACTGAGGAACCCCGGTGGCGCTGTGGGTTACTCACTGGACTGCTAGCTCTAAGGTCGGCAGTTCAGACCCACTGGCTGCTCTGAGGGAGAAAGATGAGGCTATTTGCTCCCCTAAAGATGTATAGCCTGGGATGCTCTGTGTAGGGTCACAACGAGTTATGAACTCGTTGGCAATGGGTTTTTTGGAGGCAAAGATGCCAAGACGCCATCTTACATGCTTTGGACGTGGTGCCAGGAGAGGACAGTCCCTGGAGAAGGACATCATGCTTGGCAAAGGGGAGGGGCATCGGAAAAAGAGGAAGGCCTTCAACGAGGTGGACGGACACAGTGGCTGCAGCAGTGGGCTCGGGCATCGGAACAACTGTGCGGATGGCACAGGACTCCACAGCATGTGGTTCTCCTGTGCACGGGGCTGCTGCGGGCTGGCACGGACTCGAGGGCACCTCACAACAGCCGGCCGCATGGAGCCCTGGCAGTGCAGTGGTTAAACACTCGTCTGCTAACTGACTGGAAGGTCTGGACTTCAACCCCGCCGGCTGACACTCTGAAGAAAGACAGGGCAGCCTGCTTCGCGTGTGAAGATCTACAGCCTCGGGAACCCAGGGTCCCCATGGACTGACAGACAGGGCTGCTTTCAGTAGCAATGGACTGGCCGGCCGGCTGGCCACTGGGGAGCGCCGTGCTGCAGTCATGGAGACAGCACAGGGCCGTGCAGCCGTCCCCTTCCACCTTCTGGGCTGGAGGCCACTCCAGGGCAGAAACAGGCCTACAGGACCAGACGCTTTCAGTGCGTGTCAGTACATTAACTGAGTTAAGCTTCACAGGCTTGCCAACGTAGTTCCCATTTCACAGACGAGGAAACAAGGCCCCGGAATTTGAGCAGCTTGCTTGTCCACACTTACATGTAATGGGCACTCACACTGGGCCAGAGGAGAAAGGCTGGGCTTTCCGCTCTCGTACACAGTTGCAGTGCCGGGAACTCACAAGGTCAGCACTGACTCGGCGGCAGTGAGTTTGGTTTGGTTCCACTGTGCCAGAGGAGTCCTGGTGCAGGACAGTGGGTCATGCGCTGGCCTGCTAACCATAGGATTGGCAGTTCAAGCCCACCGGCTGCTCCAAGGGATACCGGTGAGGCTTTCTGCCCCTGTTTAGCCTCCAGGGCAGGTCTATGCTCTCTGACAGGACTTAAATGAGTGGGAATCGACTCTATAGTGGTAGGATTTTGTGTTTTCATGCTGTGACAGTCTTAAAGTTTATATCGCCATTGTGCCTGCTGTTCTATAGGTAAGAAAACGGGAGTAAAGACGCTATACAACATTTCCAAGTCACACGCGGCTCATATCTTGGGACAGATTCAAAGACATGCAGTGTGAACTTAAAATGCATTTTATTTTGTTTTTCAGTCTAATGCAAAACATGTCTCAAGTGTCTAATATTAAAAGATGCAGAGTACTGTAAGGTGTTCTTGTGGTGCTTTGGGATAAGTGTTTGGCTGTTAACCACAAGGTCAATGGTTCAAAACCATCAGTCACTCCACAGGCGAAGGATGAGGCTATTTGCTCCTGTAAAGATTCACAGTCTGGGACACCCCAGGTAAGTAAGGGTCTCTCTGAGCAGACATGCACTCAGAGGCATTGGACTTCAATAGTGCCTGATCCACGTTTACCTCATTTTTTTTTAACCCCTTGTTAGGCATTTTTCTAGATTGCATGCTGGGGCATTTTGATGAGCGTGGTTGCTCATGAGGAGTCTCTGCGTGGTACAAATGGTGAGGGGCTGTACCACTAACCAAAAGGCTTACAGCTCACACCGCCAGAGGAACGTCGCAAGAAAGGCTTGGCAAGCCGGTTCTAAATGTAAACCACCTTGTAAAACCCGTTGAAGCAGTTCTGCAAGGGGTCGGTGCAAGTCAGAGCCAATGAGACAGAGAGTAAATGAATGAACGTTTGTGAGCTCAAATGGCAACACACGTTTATTTATGCATGTCTGAAGACTACTTAAAACGAAGCCTTAGAAAAAGTCTGGGTCTATCATGAGATATTAATTTATTGTGTGCATACTGCCAAAGGTTACTTCAGACAAACCATCCCAGGCCGCACTCCCGCCTACGGTGCTGAGGAGAGCTGGCCTTGCCGAACCTTTTCCATCTCTGGCCAGTACAACTGGGTTCTGTCCCCCTGCACCCCCTTCCTGCTGCCCTGAGTGGATTTCGACTCCCAGTGACCCAGCATGGCAGAGGAGAACTTCCCTGTACAGGTTCAAGACTGTGAATCTTTACAGAAGCGCAGATTGAAGGGTCCAGGCCCAGCAAGGGACTTGTGGCCCACGAACTTCTTAGGACCCTCACAGCACGGCACACCTGCTGGGGGAGCACCATTCCCAACATGTGGCCAGAAGGTTTCTGTTCCTGGGAGCCCAGGGAAACATGCCCCCAGAGTCCTTGTTGTTCCTGGGTTGCTTCTTTCCCTCGAAGGTGAAGGAGACCTCCGAGAGCCTGCTGCCCCCCACGAGGAGCGTCTCAAAGCAAACCTTTGCCAGGAGATGAAGGAGCAGGAAACATTTTTCGCCCGTGTGAAGTTGAACGCAGCCAGCGAGCAGCCCCCGGCTCTGCATGTGCTGCTCAGATGCTCGCCAAGGCGCATCGTCACACTGGCCACGCTGGGAGGCTTTCCTCAAAATCAAAAGGTTTGGGTCGGTTCCACGACTGTTCAGAATGGCAAGGCTACTTTGGGAGTCATTGCCCTGTCTTCGTGACAGGTGGGCAGACTGCCCCCCACCCCAACCCCATGTCCCCAATGAGCCAGCCACCTGGCCCTTGTGCAGCTCTGGAAGCTCCATCCCTCCCCCAAGGGCTGCCCACTCGCAGCCTGAGAAATGGTGCGGAAGACAACCCACTTAAACATGGTCAGCACCTGCTGGCTACCGACTCTGAGAGTCTCCACCAAGCCCGAGGGCAAGCCGTGAAAACCACGCCTTAACAAAACGTTCCCATTGTCTAACCAGCTGCCATTGCGGCGGTGCCAACACACGGTGACCCCCACCTGTGCTCAATTGAACGGTTTGCAGTGACTGGGGCTCTGGAAACAGATCATCGGGACTTTCTTCCGAGGCCACTCTGAGCGGACACCAACCTCCAACCTTCTGGTCGGCAGCTGAGCCTGTTCACCAGGTGCACCCTCCAGGAATGCACGGTTGTCCTAGACCCAATTAAGCCAACCCACCCCCGGACGCCGAGTTGATTCTGACATATAAGGACCCTATAGGACCAAGTAGCCTGGCCTCTGTGGGCTTCTGAGGTTGTAACTCTTGGTGGGAGCAGAGAGCCTCGTCTTTCTCCTTAAGAGGGGCTGGCGGATCCGCACAGCTGACGCGGGTTAGCAACGAATGTGGAGCCCACTGGAGGCCCAGGTTTCCTCAGACCCAGCTGAAGGGAAGGTAAAATC